ACTTGACTGCTAATCAGAAGGCTGGTGGTTCAAACCCACCAGCCACTCCTTGGAAGGAAGATGGGCAATCTACTTCTATGGTGATACTGCCTCAGAAACCCAAGGAGGGGTCACTATGAGTCGAACTGACTTGATGGCAGTGAGCCTGTTTTTTTTGTGTGTGTGTGTGGGGGGAATTAAAAGTTCACTTGGGTAATTGTATGTTTAAGGTCTGTCTGTTCCTCTAGATTGTAGGATTCCCATAGGCAGCGGCCTTGTTGTCTGTTCATGCTGTTGGCCCTGCTTCGTGCAAGGGGCCTGGTGCCCAAAAGGAGTACAGTGTGTCCTTGTCGAATGAATAAGTGAACGCAGAGGCGCACAAAGCCTTGTGACATCGTAGCACATTCACACACAGTCCAGTGTCACAGAAGACTTCACAGACAGAGCCATGCTTAATGGTCATTACATGTGGTCACTGTCTTACTCACATGATTACATGCTGGCACACACAGCCACAGCCACAGCCATGTCATCAGACACAGCCTCACAGACAGTGCCCCACTGTGGCTGCATGGTCACAAGCACATCAGCCAGCTCATGTCTGTGATCTCAATTTCACCTACAGCTACAGAGTGACACCCACGGTCCCACAGATGAGACCCACAGCCACAGTCCCATAGACCAAGATTCATAGACATGGTCTTATGGTCAGGCCACTGTGTCACCATCCTGAGGCATCCTGATGACAGTCTTACAGACATTATCACATGTAATCAACAGACTCACGGACTTACGCATACAAGTGCTGATGCCCAGGCAGGTGGTCAGATATGGTCACACATGGTTGCACAGGCAGTGCCCACACCTAGTCACACATCAGGGTCTTACACATGCAGGACTATAAGAACACTCAAGACCACAGAGTTGTCTGCCTTGTAGACAGCCACATATGTACTAAAGTGGCCACACACAGGCCTGGAGGCCTGTGAGCACATTCTCAGACTAGGACCTGTGTGCAGCTGACTTGGCATGGTTATGTGGCTTACACGTAATTCTCATGGTGGGGGTATGAGGTGGGGAACATGGGTAATGAGGAGGGAAGACAGCTGCCAAAGCAGGTCTGGGACATGACGAGTGATGTGGTACTACCACTGAGGATGGCCCTCTCACAGGGAGATGGAGGAAGGGGAGTGAATCACAGACACAGAACTTACCTGAACAGGTGTGGGGATATGGGTGGGAGGGAGGGGCAGAAGCCCGGGCAGAGAGCAGGGAGTAGTGAGGGCAGCAGCCTCCTGGACAGACTGGAGGACACTTACCTCTCCCTCTCTCAGGGTCCAGACCCAGAGCCCAGACCAGAGTCCAGTTCAGGGCCTAGCAGACCTGACCATCCACCTGGTCAAGGTGGGGAAAAGGTGTGTGCGTGTCCCATCCCAGCTGCAATAGACAGTGGCTTCGGGAGACACTTACTAGACTGTGCTGTGCGGGCCTCCATGGTAGGGGTGAAGACACCCACGCCCATATCTGAGCGAGCAGCCAGCTGGAAGCAGTACAATGTGTTGGGCTTCAGGTCCTCTACGGTGTAGGAGGAGGTAGGGTCGAAGGTCACCTTGTGCTGGAAGAACAGGGAGGACTCACTGATTCTGACCTCAAAAATCACTTAGAGGTCATTTCCCAATATGGACTATACCCTGAGCCCTGACCATGTGTCCCCACTGTGGTCCCAGGACTGGCTCCAGGGCTCTGACCACACTACGTGGTTACACGGACCACACAAAGAACTCAGAAGCCCCACCCACACCAAAGAGCCTCAAAGACAGTGGCCCACTGTGGTGGTACGGTCACAAGCAGGTCAGCCAGCTCATGTCTGTGATCTCAATCTCACCTACAGTTGCAGAGTAACACCCACGGTCCCATAAATGAGACCCATCACCACGGTCCCACAGACCAAGATTCATAGACACGGTCTTATGGTCAGGCCACAGGGTCACTCACAGAGACAAAGTCACTGTGACATTTCTTAAGGGGCTGCTCTGGCTTTTTAAAATTTTGGTGAAAATACACATAACATAATGTATACTCATTCAACAATTTCTACGTAGCCTAGCTTTTTTTTTTTTTT